TTTGAGAGCACCATTTATTTCATCAAACAGTATGAGTGAAAATTTGTTTTTAAACGTAAAACCATTAAATGTAATGAAGTCATTGCCGGCTAATCCGCTAACACTAGATCCATCTAAATAATTTATTGAACTTGGTTTATAAAATCCTTTAAAAGATGTTGAATCGTCTGAATTAAATATATTTTTTCTATTATTACAACTTTTACTTAACGAATCGCATAAACCGATATCATTAGAGGAGATATCAGGTATTAAATTAAATTTTTGGGATGCATTTGATCCAATTTGAATCTGAATTAATGAAACAGAATTTGGATCATTTATATCAAATTTATTTATATTAAGTATTAAAGGAGTAGAGGCACGTCCTTTGATTACATCTCGGTTGAAACCGTCAAATTTTTGATTATATTTTTTGATCGCATCTTGATTATAATTGACAGTTTTGGTTTTATTCTCGTTTTCAGTAATGATAAAGAAAATAAGTTTTAAATAAATGACAATAATAATGGAAAATATAAATAAACGCGATTTATATAATCGAGTAAAAGCATTTAAAAAACGAAAATTATCCATTAGTAATTTGGATACATCGTGGGATTACAGTAATTCGATTATTTATATAGTTTAAAATAATCATCGAATAAATTTTACGGATAAATAATATATTCATCTAATACCATTTATTTCTTTAAGGTACTTTTAAAATTATAAATTTACTTAGGTATGTTATTATCACTAAAAATGATTAACCTTATGGATTTATTATATACTAAGTGGAAGCAATTTCCGCAGATCTCATAAAAAACCAATCAGAAAATGGGAAATTATAAGTTTTATAGACTAGTGTAATATGGTTTTATTTAAAAATTTTAATCGGGTAGAAAATGCTCATAGTAATTTATCCGGAGGGATTAAAATATGATAAAATTAATGGTTAATTGTCCTCGAATTATTGAATTGCTTATGAAACGCTTATGAAACCGCTCATATAACCGCCTATAAGACATGATAGGAATAAAATTATTTGATTGGTTAGTTACACATTTTATATAGCTGATAGTGACACTACACGTACGTACGTACGTACGTACTATTATTATTACAAAACAAAATTAAAGACATTATTCAATTCAGTTCTATTATATCACTTAATTTCTAATCAAAAATTTCACTGATATGCGGGCCGAAAAAATCATAATGCTGACTGAATTAAATGGTTAACACGATTAAATTTTAGACGATTTCAATCTCAAACTACTCAAATAAACCTGCAATTTTCTGGAGATCGAGATAATATATAAGTATTAGAGAATTGCTCAAGCATCGCGATGAACAAAGACCTTATTTGATTTTATTTGCTACAGTAAAAAAAAAAAAAAAAGTTTGAAACCTTTAAATTGAAGGCTTTTCTGGAAGGTTTTAGGTTGCAAATCATGCGCTGCTCCCTCGATTATTGGTTAAGCAGGTGCTTTTTGGCTTACAGTAAATAAATATTTTCTACCATATTGTCGTTAATTAGAAAATCGTGCTCCCCTAAAATAGTATGCGACGTCTCAAAATAACGCCCATGCGCGTCCCTAAATAACGCGCACCCCATATGAAATAAATTATATATAACGCACATGGACATTATTTGGAAAATCAGGTTAATCAAAAAAATCAACCTTTGTTTCAAAATAACGCCCATGCGCGTACTCTAATTAACGCACATATACTCAAAATAATGCGCAGGTGGGCGTTATTTCGCGACAATACGGTATTCGGTACAATCTCTATTTTAGCCATTATTCTTCAAAATGTTAACACAACAGAACAGTATAAGTGGTCTTCTAATGAATGAGACTCTAATTCCTAATGAAATAAGCGTTAAGCCCTAAATTTTAATAATAAATTGTTGAAGCATTTTTCGTAGCCAGTTTTTGTTAAATTATCTTTGCATAAAAAAAAACGACTATTTAACGTATAACGTGTTGTGCATCAAATTAATTTCTGTGTCGGATTAAAATAATTATAATATCTCCACTTAACTAACATAGCGGTAGACTTTCAAATCATTATTTAAATTTTGTTCTGATTAAGCTTTAAAAAGATCGTAGCGGTAGGACTGATTAAAGACGGATCGACGTTATTAAATCGGTCCTATTAGAGACCGGGACTAACCAAAAGAACGATCACATCAATACTTATAAAGGGTGTTCTCAAG